GGGGGGGGGGGGTCGCGAGAGCATTGCCGTCAAGAACCCCAGGAAAAAATCCGAGAAAATTCTCGTCTGTTTTGGACTTGGCCCCGAAACCGCACAACACAATTGATACGTATCAGGATCCGTGCATGCGATATCGGACTCCAAATTGGTTCGGTGCTGCGTCCCTGCTATCTACACCCGTGTTTCTCCACGCAGGCAATGAAAGCAAGACAAACACCGCTGTAGGACTGCGAAGGAGGTTTGCACGGAGACACGATTGCACGTGAAACAATTTCGTTGCTTCCTTTTGCGCGGCCCCCACGTGTGGGCAAGTGCCTTTTCTCCGCACCCCACATTTTTTCGTGAGAGCATGGTGTGATATCGCTCGTAATTCCGTGGCGACTCTTCCCCGTGTATGTTACACCCTCCTCAATGCTACCCTTAGCAAGCCAAAGCGCGTTGCTCCCTCGTGCTTCATACGACTTGTCCTCAGAAGAAAAACCATGTTACGCTTGGCAACTTCGAACACATGCCGTCGTGACGAGCAAGCACCCACCGTGCCGTTCCCGTGATGATTTCCACGCCCTCCCTGCTGAGTTGGTCGGTTACGACATCGGTCTCCGCTCCCTCCACCTTCTTCACTCTACGATACAAGACAGGGCGAGGCAGGGGGGGGGGGGGGGGGGGGGNGGGGGGGGGGGGGGGGGGGGGGGGGTTCGCGGGCGTTCAGTGCGTGTGCAGGATGGCAATTCACATGTGGTGCAACGCGCATATCATTGGCAGAAAAAACAGCGTACAAGGCTGTGGAGGCCAAAGCAGCAGCAGCAGCAGCAGCAGCAGCAGCAGCAGCAGCAACGCTACTACCACCACCGCCAAAGCATAACCCTTACCACTGCCACCGCCACGACCAACAATACCTCGAGAGAAGGTCGGGCATGCTGATGGTCTTCTTGTACGATCGCCCGTAGAATCCCTGGTGTCTGTACCCCGTCAAGTGCAAAACCGCCTCCCTGCTCGCAAGAGACATCGATAGGATAGATAGTGGTGTTTGGATAGACAGTAGATAGCATAGGGTTGCCCGATGGTCTAGTGGGTAGCCTCACAGCCTGCTAAGGGCCAGGTCATGGGTTCGAGTCCCGACAGAGTGAGTTTTTTCTCGCTAATTAAATCCTGGTCTCCGTTGGGAGCGACGCGCTGCAAAAGTAGTTGTTAGTAAACTTGATCGACTTCAACAGTCGCGAGGGAAGGGATTGCTGTACCCTTCTCTCGCGATAAAAATATCTCAGGCAAGGACCGCAGGAGGGGCCCAACCCCCCCCCTCCTATGTGACCCTGGTTGGGTCGTCTAGCTGGTAAAAGTAGAGAATAGGGGCCAGAGGGGTAGACGACAGAGTTCAATGATGGGAGAGAAAAAAAAAATAATATATATATATATAGGGAAATGGTTTGTGAGTCATCTTTGGGCGAGAATGATTGGCCATCGGTAAGATAGTGTTTAGCACAGTCAAAGATAGGATAGGGAGAATATTTTGAGCCACCTTTGGCAAGGTAGGAAGGAGCAATTGGCCACCGGTGATCGGGTCTGTGGGAACAGTGCTCCCTTTTCGAGAACGCGTGGGCTAACAGCTAAGGCATGAGTGGCCATCCGTGGTTCGGTCCTGTGGGAACAATGCTCCGTCCCCTCGAGGACGCGTGGTCAATAGTCTAACCGCGGAGGCATGCAAATCATGAGTAGTCCCCCCCCCTGCCGAGCGGAAACACGATATCAACAGCAGGAGTAGCGGTGAGAAGGCAATCGCCACCCGGCGGTGACTAAATCGCCATTGTATCGTACTGGCCACGCAAACATTCAGTAAGAACGGGCGTGCTAAACCGGGATACTCGCGGCGTCGACGGACCAGGACATGGTACAAGACCAAATTGTCGCTGCAAAGACTTCAACTCATGCCCTGTGGATACTCTCGAACGGATAGACCTTCTGTGATCGTACATACTGTGGTTCCGGTTTATTGGCGGTAGGCGCCAGCCCCTGAACCGGCATCATACCCGGCGATCGGTATTATTCGGAGACCAACTCGAATATTCATCTGTGCCAGACGATTTCACCGGCATTATAACGGGACCACTACCGTACAGTCGACCCTGCTTTAAGGACGCACATGGTTTTTCCTGAAAAAAGCGTCCTTAAAGCGGGGTTGCGTCCTTGAAATTCAGGGGACGATAGCTTACCATCCGCGGGGCCAATGGAGGCATGCTATACCTCAAACTACGCGTCTTTTGCTAAGGAAGGGGGTGGTACGAAAAGTCAGCATCGCCGAGACGACTGGCAACCGTTTGTTGACGTCGAACATATTTACAATACTTGAAATGAGATGTACAGTAGTCAGGAACGTGTTGAAAACAACTACAGTACACCAGTTTGTACTTGGCCAACTAATGNTACCATCCGCGGGGCCAATGGAGGCATGCTATACCTCAAACTACGCGTCTTTTGCTAAGGAAGGGGGTGGTACGAAAAGTCAGCATCGCCGAGACGACTGGCAACCGTTTGTTGACGTCGAACATATTTACAATACTTGAAATGAGATGTACAGTAGTCAGGAACGTGTTGAAAACAACTACAGTACACCAGTTTGTACTTGGCCAACTAATGTACTGCATAGCCGGCAGCGGGAGGAGGAGGAAAGTCCAAGTAGATACATATTTATCTCATTCTTGTAAAACAAAAAAAAGACGAGCGTACTTCAGCATCGCACCGAGGAACACCATTACATATCACTGTCCCGGCGGAGACCAAATTCTACACTAATGACTTTTCCTTCCACATATCGCGAAGAGTTCCCTGAACCTCCCCCCGCGGCTTGGCTCTACGGCTCTGTTGAGTTTCATGAGTAAACGAATGAACGGTCTTCGAAAGAAGGTACTGCGTCTCACGGTACTCGCCACCCCTTCCCTTCGCGTACAAATACAGATAGCGCCCGCAGTTAAGAAAATTCTGTCAAGATAGAAGGCTCAACTTTGTACGAAAAATAAGGAAAAAGGGCTAAGAAACATGGCTCAATCTCGGCCACAACGTAAAAAACGCCCCAATAAGGAACGCGATAGTGCGATACCCCCATGACATCAGAAATCTGTGGTGCTCCCAACCCCCTCCCAAGCTGAACAGAAGAAGTGCATTTTTTTGTAGGGGGCAGAGTCCCCCGCCCCCACCCCACCCGCGCCCCTGCTGTTCACGGTGAGTGCTGTACTGTGGTACTGACACACATCGCGGAACGACCATACGCTCTCCGCTGTTGTACGGGTTTGATGGCACTCTCCACCTCTCTTGAGGGCTTGATGATGTGGATTGTCCTCAGACATCAAAAGACAGAAAAAAGAAAATACGAAGTACTTGTTGAAGTCTAAGGAATAAGAGAATCGGGAGGATGCGACAGTCCAAAGGAAGAAGAAATGCCATTTACGAAATGGACGACTTGGGTCGGTACTTCGACCCAAAAGAAGAGATTGGTGAGGCTCGAACCGATTTTGACGTTTCTTAACTGCGGGCGCTATCTGTAGGATCGAACGTCCTCCAAGCGACTGATAACCTCGCCCTCGGTGAGGGACGAGGTTATGCACGACTCTTTTTTCGGCGGCATCAGATGGACCGCCGGTAGATGGGAGGAACCTATCCATAGCAACACCCAGTTGCAGCTGCAGCAGCAGACCGCTCGCTACTTCTGCTGTCTGTGCGTCGCTACTTCCACACTCACTGTGGTGCGTGGTTCGTGCAAAGAGCGGCCCGCAGGCCCGCAGGACAAAAAAAAGGGGGTACGCGGCAGAAAAATGGGGGTACCGCATTCTCGTATATTCTGGCGAGCCCCCGGTGCTCAGCTAAAGAAGTATCCATTAGGCGGGGAGTTTCCTAAACGCGAGCGCCCTTAGAGCCTTAGAGCGGGTTCGACTTTACCATCTAAAAATAAAATTCGAAAGACGAAGTCAAACAAGTCCGACAAAGCGAGGCAGAGGTGGCGAGAGACGCCGAAGCGAACGGCTACAAAATGTGAGCCACGGTTGCGCCGCTATTCTAATTCCCCTTTCATCTAGAAACAACCTTGTCATTGCTGCTTTAACCTTGAGGAGGGAGGGTATCGAGCGCGAAAAACCATAGCGGTCTGTCGCCAAAAAGAAAGTCGTGGGGTACATACGACCCGGCCTTTCCTTCCGAGGAAGGTCGACTCGCCAGCTCTACCTTCTTGGTCACAACAAAATACGTGCCTGAACGTCTTGCTGGGGATGGTCCCGGTGTGCACGCAAACGCCCCCCAAGAGGTCCTTCTTATCGACGACCGCTACCCGCTTGCCTGTGGGGCGTGGGGGGGAGAGGGGGGGGGGGGGGGGGG